AGCAGGTCAAATAGCAAAAATAAAGTCTTTAATGTGCAGACTATTATCTAGAATGAAACGGGCTGGAAGTTTGGGGTGTGCTAAAATAGGTTTGGCTATTTCAGTGGAGCCACTTTATCACATAATCAAGAGCAGATCACACAAGTGTCCTGACACTATTAACTACCATTCCACTAATATTTGTGCAACCCAGAAGTTTTAAATTAGTTATGTTATATACAACTTTCAAGGCTGCAAATCACATGCTAGATAGAAGGAGGGTGGTTTCTGACACTTCTGCAGTCCCAACAGCAAGGGGCCAATTCCCCACCAACTCTTAAGATACCAGCTGACTGGCTTTCATCCATCTATCACTCTCACACTACTTTAAAAAAAGGATTCTAAAAATCACAATGTTAAGTACTACTGAGCCAAGTGCTTTACTTCGTAAGCACTACTATATCCCGTAAACTACCTTTATCAACCAAATCATTAAGAAAATGAAGTCAGGACTGCTTCACAAGATCTGTTCTCCACAAAACCACACAGACAGCTATTAATGATATTCCTTATTAATCAATTGCCTATTTAATTACTTAACAAGTATAAACATACCCTCTGTTGCCAGACTAACTCTTTACTCTGCCGTCTCCATACGCCTTTTTGAACCAGCAAAAAAACCCAACATAGCAGCAAAACAGTGGTTTAACCAATTTAAAACAAAGCCTCTAATGCCCAGGCATGTTTAGGGGCTTGGAAAGCATTTAGTGGTCATCATGGAAAGAAGCAGGATTATATGTTTACATCACCAATGTGGAAAAGAAATACTTCATAATCTACCTCATTAACTGTATCGGTATGATTTTTACTACCACCCAGGCGAAAGTGTTGCATCATGCTCAATGCAGGATAAATTATGAGGTTTTTTCCAACAGTCCTTACTATAAATTGGAAATTTAGAACTGGCAAACTTGTTCAACACATTTAGAAACTATTAAAGGCATCCTTTTTATGATATCAGGATGTCTCCATATCCTGATTTCCAAATTTAAAAAAAAAAAAAAACAACATAAAATCAAACCATTGCATGTAAAGAAGTAGGTGCATCACCACATCCTGGTTACTACATGTAAAACAATTTGTCAAGTTTTCAATCCTAAGCATTTTCCATGATAGAATAAACAATGAATTAACCCCTACTTGTGACTTTTTATACATACAAAGGCTAACAGCTACCAAAAGTCCAAAGCTGAATGCCACACACTGCTTAGGACCAACTTCCATATTTAGCCATTAAAAAAACAGATCAGACTTATAAAAAGGAAAATCACAAAAGCATGTATTAGTCTCCTTCATACAATATTTTCTGCCAATAAAATAGGAGGATAATGCAGATAATACTAACATTTTGCTTTCAACAATTACACAAAGATGAACATGGCTTCAACAACCAGTCATGACATTGCTTAACACATCAGAGGATCTGTCAACAGCCTGAGATAAAGCAGAGGTATTTCAAAGTAACTAAAATTAGATTAACTCTACCAGAAGTAGGACATGGGACTCTATTCTGAATTGCAAAGACTGAAGCCTGGCAAAGACTTAATATAAAAAATTCTAATTGTGTGTGTGTGTGAAATATACATATACATCTCTTACATCTCCATGATACATTCTTCTAAACTTGCTCAGTGATCTAGGTTTAGACACACACAGTCAAAAATAGTAATCATTCAGAAATGAGCTCTGAAAGAAGGTCCCAAACAAGGCTTCCCCTTGGGTTCAGTTCTGACCCTCAAACCAAACAGAACCGCCGTAAGCTACTGCTCCACAATTTTGATACACCCCAGAATAATGAAAACAAACATACAAAAAGGGTATCCAATTACATGATATAATTAAGAAAGGGATCACAACTAGCTAGTTATACCCTCACAGCACACGAAAAGGCAAGAATGAGTGGAGAACGATCTGTAAAGGATGAAGTATGACCGTGTTTATACTCTGCGCTCTCCTGGTGCATTACTGTAATTGGCAGATGTCACGGGTTTCCTCGGGAGCAGAAGGCAGCTCCCCGTCTCGCACAGACAGACAGACAGACAGAGGCAGACACTCAGCTCATCACACGCCGGAGCTCGTCCTGCTCTGCCCAATTCCCGCCCCGCCCCCAGCCTCCGCTTTCCCAAAACAGGGGTACCCCAGAGACGTTTTGGTGGCCCCGGGGAATAAACGAGCTGCTGCCGGCACTTCCCGGGCCAAGTCTAGTAAACCCAGCGGCGGGGGAAGGCCAGGGCTGGTGGGGCCGGCGAGCGGGGAGCAAGGACAGCGCCGGGCACCGCGGGAAAG